TCCACTAAAATGTGTGAAAGCAGCAAAGATGTCAACTAATCCTTTAGATGCCTACAAAGTTAGGCTGTAAAATGATACAGACCTACGGAACAGCTGCTTAGAAATTTGGTAGGACTTCAGGTCCCCTTGATAAGATTTCAGCAGAACAAACACCATTCAGAAATTCACTGCTTTGTTGCAAAGGTATTTTTAGAACCAAGAAAGTAATTTGAAGCAGGAGATTAGGTTATCTTTCAGATCAAGTATATCTAAATCATATTGTACAGTGAAAAGTTAGGCATACAAGAACAGAGGAAAAGAAGGAATAATGGAGTCCTAGAAAAAAAGGAGAATGATTTTATGCATATTTAAATGGATTTTGGATAGCTACTTTTTCATCAACCTATGACTATACTATGACTGAATTTTGGTAATTCTTTCATCTTTAATTTGATTAAAAAATAGCACTAATGCATAAAGCAATGGAAAATTGGACCTAGTCATCAATCACTTATATTTAATTGAGTTAGGCAACAGAATCAAAGACAAAAATTTAAAGGTATAAAACATACATTATTAAGTCTACCAAATAGCACTTCTATTCAATATGTATGTATCTGAGCAATAATTTTAAAATTGTTGACATTTTATGCCATTTCTGAGTGTATTTGAGGGGTGTCTGCAATGGTAAATGACATTCTCCAAAGTTACCAAGCACTAGTATATTCAAATATTTATTAAGCATAAACTCTGTTGAAATCTATGCAGGGCAGGCATATTTTGATGAACCTTATCCTATTCTGATTTTTGGTAGTATTCTTCCTTTGCAAAAATTAATCACCTGTTTAAAAATTCCCAAATGCTAGAATGTCAGAAAATGAAAAATTATGGAATCTAGCCCATTTTCACCTAAGGTATAAAGCTTCATTACTTGTTAGTAAATACCTGACAAATACCCCCACCCTCCAATATGTAAACATGTCCAAAAGTCAATACAGTTCTTTTTAGGAGATTGTTTTGGATGGAATCTATAAGATAACAGATTTTCATAATTAACCTGTGAATACATGGCACCATTCCAAAAGAGAAATGAGATAATGACTCCACCATGACCAGCTTCTTTCCCACTTCTGCTTTGCAGTTTGTTTTGCTCTGTGCTAATAACACCTTTCTGTGTCTGTCTGCTCTCACGTAAGTGAGCAAGATCAGTCGTCTGTTCAGAAGAAAATTCATGTGTGCCCATGATTCCTGCATTGGCACACAATAAAGCAAGTGGGCATGAATTTAATGGTTTAGCTATTCTGTGAGTGTTGACATAAGTATTTACATATTACATGTCTTCATCAACCCCTGATATTATGAAAAATTATAAACATATCTTTCATACTTTAGAAGAAAGATGCATGGAATTAGCTGAGAGCACTTGTAATGAACTGAGGTGGTATGCTGCTTACCTATGTGAATAAGGAAAAGCAAATAAAAGAGATAACCTTTCTTCCCTTTCTTTTTCTGGACTCTGCAGTATAAGAAGAAGGCAAAAGTCATGGAGAAAAGTTATTCTGCTCATTAGACCAACTGATAAAGTTGGCAAAGAAAAAGAATATTTTTTTCCCCTCAAAACTCTTTCTTCAGCGATAAATAAGCACCAAAGCCTTTTTCCCTGAATTGCTGGCCAGTAAAGAATGTAAAGTGTTCCTTCCATGCACCCTGTTTCTACTACTGGACTCAGCAAGGTGTAAAAGTTTCAAAGTCACTTGCCCCCATTAAAATTATACTGTGGTATTGCAAATGTTAATGGATAGCTGGTGCCTTGAAGGTAGAATCATCCTTTCTGATGTACTTCCACTAAACATTATGAGTCCTCTTGAGGATGGTGACCAAAGGACAATCAACCTCAGCTCATGTCTTCCTCTCTCTTGTCTGCTTGCCCCAATGCCTACACAGCTTGTCAAATTTAATTCAAGTAAAACAAGACAGCAACAGGGGTTAGAGCCATGTTTCCTAACCCTGCATGTTCATTTCAGTAATGAACAATAGCAAGCTTGTTTTATAAATATATTTGATTCTTACTAACAAGTAGAAACAGAACAGGTACACACTGCCTACAAACTTTTCCAGGATCCACATGCTTGCAAGTTTTCTTCAGAATCTTTTCAACTGGCTAATTCACCATATTTTAAAAACAATATTTGCAGGCAAAATATGGCTTTTTAAGACCCATGCAACACAAAGACATCATAGACCAGTCTTACATAAGGTGTAATAATCACTGCCACATCTTGGAGTAAACCATGTTTTAAGATTTTAAAATGTGTCAGGACAAGTGTTCCAATTAAATTTCTGTTATGTATGGTAAATTAATCCTTTAATTCCCAAGAACCAATTTCACACCAAAATAAGCACAAATACTATTCTATTATTTTTTAAACTATACCCTCTCTTTGATTTTACCCCATTTGCTGTGTTTTATCTAAATTTAGGGACATATCAGCTCTGTATAATAAAAAGAAATAAAAAAGAAATCCTGAGATAATAATAAAATTAGTTTCCTTTATTGCTGAGAACCAGCAAAAAACATAGGATAAAGTAACTCTAGCACAGGAATCTGAAAGGTCTACAGTAATTTGTACTCTCTAATTATTATCAGAGTTTGCAGAAAGACACACCATGTCTTATAGATTATGGAAGATATCTTCATGTTTTATCCTCTGATAAAAAAGTAGGAAAGTTCAAACAGGTCCAAAATTCTATAAATAACAATACTGTATTACAGTGTTCTGAGAATGTGTCAAGTCTTGAACAGCCAGATTGTGAGCCTGGCTTTGTGCCCATACCAGGAATTATGAGGCTGTTCAGCATTTATGCTGCCTACATTTGCTGCCTATATAACGGCTTATGAGTATGGAAGCAAGGAGCTTCTGTGGAACCATTAGTTCCTCTTTGCAGATGGAACTAGAAAATTGACCATAAATGGTATAGAACTCTCCAATCCATAAGAGTCCTGAAAAGTAATCCACTCTAATTACAGGATTGATATATGCTGGCATATTTTTCTACCTGAAAAAAAGAGTGGGATAGAAGTGTGAGAACATATAACTCTGTGGCTTTGAGTCATAATAGGACGTTTTCTTTTAGGCTTGGGCATTATCATTGTTGTTAGCCTATGAGTCAATATTAATTTACTCCATGCACTATGGGCAAAGAACCCTCTCCTGATTCCTGGTATCTACAGTTCCATCTGTCCTAACAATTGAAAGAGGAATGTTGCTTAAGCAATAGACCTCAGTACATCTACACCTGCGTATTTGATAATTCTTTCCCTAATTATGCTTAGACTGTCCAAATACCTTTTTTGAAGACAAAACCTGCACAGGGGAGACAGTTTTCTTCATGAGCAAATCCCAAAAGCCTATGTAGATAAAAGCTGATAAGATTTCCACCAGTTTTCCCCTCCATGCATTTTACACAGTCCTGGAATATGGTCCTCACAAACTTATCACACAGTCACTCATCAGAAATCCATATCACACCTGAAAACTTCCAATAACAGGGTCCTCTGAGTTTCTTCATATAATTGGTATTCTAGGAAGATGTAAGATAGTTTTCACATTAGTTCTGGCATTTTAATTTGGGTGAAGATGGGTGAAATCCACCTGCCACATGACATGTAAATTAAAGAGGCTCTCTCAGGGCCTTCAAGGTTTGGCTAAAAGACAAAACTGAGCACTATGTAGCATGGATCAGGTAAAACTGTGCAAGACTGAATATTTCTAACCCATGTGGAAATTAGCTTTTCACTTGACCTCAGAAACTCAGAAAGTCTCAGTTCTCAGAAACTCTCATTCCTTGACTGCTTTTTACATAGTTCTGAGGGCACAGTCTCAAGTTACTGTCCATTCACTGTCAATTACTGTCTTCCCCCTGTTCTTTGTTTATTAACATCTTAAGAAAAATATCACTAGTACAGTACTGCCCTGAGAAAACCATATTGTGAATGTGGGGATCCATAAATATAATCCATTTTAAAAAGTAGGCATTTACATCATTTGGGGATTTTTTAGACACTGTTTATCATATGCTTCTTCAAATGCAGTAACAGATGACTGTAACAACTTCTAGTGCTATTGTGAAGGCAGACCTCTCTTTTATAAGCTGAACACACCAGTCGTCTTCCCACTCATTACATCCTACATGTTGTCAATCTTAGTTTCAAGAACTGTCAATCAGAAATGCAGTGGATGATATGTGCAGTATTTTTTAACAACATTAAGGTGGGCATTTCTTTGATTTTCCTTTATTCTCTTGATTGCAAAGTGCAGTATGCATCTTGCATACTAGCAAACACAAAAGTACATGGAAAACAGTATTTTGAAAAATGAAAACAGAACTTTGGTACAGTAACCCTTGCAGCTAATCAAAGCCTTATTGTTAGTCCTGATTATTTTATACAGTGGTTCCAGATATTATAATTACCTCTTTAGGCTTGAGGTTATTGATTTAGTAAGAGCAATTATGAAGCATTAAAAAAAGAAGGAAAATAAATGCCACAATAATTTGTTGAAGCACATTGTAAATTTTACAGTTCTATTAGTATAAATGATCAAGATGCTGGAAGGAGGAGAAGGAGAAGGAGAAGGAGAAGGAGAAGGAGAAGGAGAAGGAGAAGGAGAAGGAGAAGGAGAAGGAGAAGGAGAAGGAGAAGGAGAAGGAG